ATATACGGAGTATGGCGTAGCTGCAGTCACTCGTCGGAGGTATCGGGCGCTCGTTATTGCACGACTGCAGCCGTACAGGTTCTGAGTTCGTTTATTCGTTTTTATTTTTGCCAAGTATATATAACGGGTGAAAACGCCGCCGTGACGTAGGTCGACGTATTGCACATTGTGTACAACGTATCTATACATGCATTACAGCCTATCATATTATACGCCATTCAGGGTTTTACTTCCTGTTGACCTACCGCGCGAACCGTCGAGTTGATGTTCGGTCCCGATACGGCACGACACCGCGACGACGACGACCCGATGAGCCCTTGCTCCCCCTCCCGCCCACCACCGAACAATCGTCTCGTGTCGAAGTCTCGTCGTCGCGGCATATTATAATAATATTATGTAGGTACAGGCGTACAGCACATCACATAATATGCGTATGTGCCTATATACATCCGCAAATAGTTTTGATCACGCGGATCGTCCGTGTCTGGCGGGCAGCGTGATGACGGAGAAAAAACGGCGTGTGTATTTCTATACGGAAAATAATAATATATTGTAAGTATAGAAATAGATATATAGATAATATATATTTTATTATACGATATGTGTGTGTGTTTTCATTTTTTTTTTTTCACAAAACCGCCGGCCGTAACGCTATTAAGTACCTACCCACCAAGCAAGCAAAGCGTTTTTCTGTAAAATACTATTATATTACTTTATTATGGTAATAGTATTATGGTCATAATAATATTACGCGCCACAGTAATGGAGACGCACAGCTTTCTATGTACGCGATGGATTTGTTAAATTATAAATTATAATATATTACGTCGTAAAAAACGCGTATCGTTGTGATGCGAGTAGTCTGGTCCTTAAAAGTGCTATAATAAACAATACACATATATATTCAATCATTCAGGCCTCAAAAAAAGGGAAAGGAGTTAAAAGGGAAGATTTTCTTCGATCCGGCTAAATTTTTGCATCAACTCAGTTTATAACATATTTATTAATACAAATAGAAATCATAAACGATAAAATAATAAATTTGTCCAGCACTATTCGAAATAGAAATGGTTATTGATGGATACATTTTTTTTTTCAATAAAATCTAAAAAAAATCTAAAAACTCAAAAAATTCAAATGGTTATATGTATTCCCAAAGTAACCCTAAAATTTGAAGACTAAAACATTTTTATTATCTTCGTCAAAATCCGTTGACAGACAAAAAAAAAAAAAATGAATAATAATATTAATAGTAAAAACACGCTTCATTGTATAATAAATACTGCTCTGTTCAGAATCTAAAATTTAGATTTGAAAATAATGCGTATAAAAGTCATCACCACTCTTAAACTGTAGGAGTAAAGTAAGTAACTACTATAAGTTATACTACTACTTTTAGATACTACTTACAGATCAACCTAAGATTGACTCCATACAGTGTCATACTTTATAATAAATTGGTCCTTAAGATATCGCCTCCCTAGGTTCGTGATTTTTTTATTCATATAAATTACACTTCGCCAAGACTTAAACGGTTATTATCGAGTTTTCTTTTTACCCTCAACACAATCGCGAAATCTACTTATCCGAGTGAGAGTAAGTATCCCTTATATACATGTTATCCATTATTATTAAGTGAGGACAGTTGACAAGCTATTTCTGCGAAACGATATTATTGGGTGATGTATATGATGGAGTTTAGTAAAACGAAAAAAACGGACTTATACTCGTAAGTTGTTAAGGTAATAATGACCGAATATTGGTACCATGAAATATATTAATTTTGTGAAATTTCTAAATTAAAGTATTTACATCACTATATATACTGGTAAACTGCATTATTTATGTTAATATGGATTTTTTTTTAACGATGGTCAACATTCGTATTTGCAAAAATAACTTCCCATTAAACTATTACGACCGACAGTATTATACAACTACACCATATAAATACTTGTAAAATTCCAACAACAATTTTTAAAATATTTCATACGTCTAGCGAGAAATATAATGACGAAACACATTTCTTATTGTTTTAATATTAATATGGGGTGGAATTAGTTATAAAAAGAAACTATAATGGTGAATGAAAATAATTTTATTTTTATTTCACAACTCACTTTCCTGCATGGAACTTTTTAATTTAATTTCTAAGTATTCATAGTAAGGTAAAAAAATACACGTATCATACTATCATTTTATGAAAAAAAATAATTATAATGCTAACTAGAACTGTCTTAGATTTTATTTATTAAAATGGCCTTACCTAAACCGGCGATTAATTTAGGATAAGAAATCTAACTTAACGCATATAATGAACCCAATAAAACAAACTTATAAGTATTTATCTCGTGACTTATTTTACAACTACTTAATCAATCGCATGAACATATTTTTTCAATTTTCTATAATACTTATAAAAATCATTATATAATATATTTACATAGGCGTATCTTTAATAACACATAATTTCCTGGGAAGTAGGAACAGTCAAATTACAATGGTATATATAGTGTGAAATAAAAAAAACAATAAATAACGTTTCTTTTTGTGAAACTTTAAATAAATTTATTTTTTCGGACTTATTAGATACGAAGTATACTTAATATTTTTCGTATGAATATAATTAATATAAGTAATTTAAGAAATATTTTTTTGATTGAAAAAATTAATGAAAAAATCAGTCAGGTGAAATCTGGGTTAGTTTTCTATAGCTTTGACTATTAAATATTAATATAAATAAAATAATAAAAAACTACTTAAGTAATTGCGCCATTATAAACAAAAAATGAAATACTATGACTTGTGGCTTGACTATTAAAATTAGCCCTGATAAGTAGTGTCCAGATTTTATTGCAAAAAAAAAATTTAGAATATAAATTTATTTATACACGCAAAATTAAAAAAAAAATAGGCGTAAAAATATAAAATATGCATAATTGCACATAAATGTTTATGCATTCTAATAACTAATACAACTTGTAAATTGATATTAATATTTTAATGATGTACAAATTGTAACTGTAAGATATTTTTAATTTTTTTTTTTTATTAATTTATTGTAAAATAATTAAGACTCGAAATAACATGAAATTTTATGATGCGATTATCTAGAAATGACAAACTTTTACTAATTTTAACTTTGCCAATGTAAAAAATATATACAAAAAATTTAACTGTATACAAAAACTATTAAGAATTTTAAAATCTTACTTATATTTACTTTGTCAAAGTTTATCTATTGAAATAATCTGGACCAAATAAAATGGAACATTTTTTATTTAATCATTAATACCTACGTAATAATTGGTAAAATAATATTTAGTCTTAACTATTCGCGTTTCTCTTGTAATTTAAATTGAATGTTTATTTATTAAATTGTCTATTATTAGAAACGTGACAATTGATGAGGATCGCTTCGATTTATTAAAATTAAATTGGTACTTTCGAATATGAAATAGTGATGTATATACAGGTAAAATTTGTTCTACGGACCTAGTTTACTATCCTTAGTAATATATAATAAAAAATATTAAAATTAAACATTCTTAAAATATTTATAATATATTTTTCTGTAGTAAATAGTTATATATATCATCTTTACAAATATTAATATAATAAGTTATTATTAATAACACAATTGAATTGTATATTTATTAGCATAATAAAATATGTATTTATTAGAATATCTTTTTAAAAGTATATTGTGGTGGAGTGTCAAAGAATATTATTGAAAACATAAGCGAAATGAGTTTTAAATCAACAAAATAATAAACGTTTCGTAGTGAAACCAATATCTCCGCTATCGAAATCTATTAAATAATATAGCATATTATGTATTCACTGTTTACTCTATAAAAAAAAAAAAATGTTAAATCATTTGAATAAAAAGAAGCAATATTACGTCGCATAAGAACTATAATAAAATATACGTTACATACAATTATTAATATATATATATATATATATATATATTATCATCGTTTTTAGTATTATAATACGAAATAGGGATTTTGAATAATGATGATGGTCATAGTTTATTTATATTTTATATTGTGCATGTCATATATAATAAGTTGAGTAATACAGTAACACCTCAAAAAGTTTTTAATTACCTACGCATCAAAGGTGATTATTTAATTTGAGAAAAAATAAAAAAAATATATAAAATAACACACTGATAAAATATCTAAAATTTGATTAATTGATAACTACTGTACAATTTTTTTGTTTTCACGTCCCACGCTATCTATAAGCCAAATTAATATATTATGATATAATATAACATATTGTACTAGACGGAACTCGGAATGCGTCAATGTCCGTTTTACTAAATGTATTACGTAAGATTTTACCGGTAAACTCTTTGACCTGTGTTAATACTTATGAAAGAAGTAACTTACTCGTGAAGTAAACACTTAAAGAATACAATAAGATACAAGAAATACGTTTTAATTTATACTTATAAAATTATACGGTTGTACAATTTTTAACAAGTGTATAACCTATAGTGTTAAACTGCGTGCACCTTCATATAATAATATTGTGTTAGTTGTTATTATTGACTCCGAGGACAACCCCAAGTGACTCACTCTCACACCAATAACGTATATTCCGTGGAATGGTTGGAGCTAAGTAAAAGTCTACACCGGATAATAAATATAGCACTACGAGTAGCATCGACATTCGTGCGAGGTCTCTTCATACTATTTTTATTATTATTATTATTTAACAAACTCGGTTCCCATCGAAGTTTTTACCTTCTCCCGGACGATCTGAAGAAATATCGGTTTGTCGTGACCGAGTAACCACCTTGCGGCACGAAACCATCCCAAAACAGTGCAATGTCGGTTTAAGTTCGATGGCTCTCCTCCCACTCTTCCACCCACAACACCAACCAATTATATAGGTTTTTTAACATTATGTGTACATATATCGTAATAAATGACATGTCTCAGTCGATATGTTTAACGTTTAACGTGAACGATAAATTGTTATAGGTCAAATTACCAATTCCAACCAAAGAGGGTCTACCGCAGGTGGTCGAAGCGTTAAATGCGGCTACACATTTGGTAGACCACGATGAACTGGAGAAGAACTTTGAAGGACAGCGAGATAGTTATAAGAGGTCACCCAGGAAATTGGGAACTGATGATTTGGATAAGAACTCGGAACTACAAGAGTATCAAGGTGTTTTATTATTATTATTTTTGTCATATCGCGAGTGTTGAAAAAGTATTTTTCATAGTTACTAATAACGTGCAAACGTTCTGCATAAGTATTTTGAATTTTTAAATAATAATATCCTGTAATTTACATAGGTGTAATTGGACGTCCTGGTGTTGACTTTCCGATATTGCCATCTATACCTCAAACCGATTTTAGCTGTAGGAAGGTGAAGAAACCCGGTTACTACGCTGATCTTGAAACTGACTGCCAAGTAAATAATATTATTTTTACACACCAAAAAAATATTTTTAAATTCAAATATTGAAATGTATTTTTTTTTTTTTTAATATATATTCAATTTTAGTGCAAAAATTAATAACTAATAAATAATTATAGTTATAACACGCTGATAATAAATTATTTATAATATAACTTATACACAATTAGCCATGATAAAAATGGTGATCAGGTATTGACAAATTAAAATTAGTAATTTATTCAGGGTTTATACAAATAATTAGTATTAATTAATTAATTTATAAATCGAATGCGTTTTATTGAAAATTCCAAGTTTTAATTTTGATTTTTTTTTTAAATTATGTAGGTTAATTTTAGTAACAATTTCTTTAATACATTTTAATCTTTCAAAAACAATATCTATACATTAAATTTAAATATAGATTCTTAGGATTTTTACACTACAGATAGTTATCATTACAAATCAAAAGTAATTAAACGATTAAGTACATATTGTGACTATTGTTTGCATTTAATTTAATTTTAAATTAAATAATGAAATCAATTTTTTACAGGTGTTCCACATTTGTGATAATGGAAGAAAGGTATCATTTTTATGTCCAAACGGTACAGTTTTTCGTCAGTCACATTTAATTTGTGACTGGTGGTTCCGAGTTGATTGTGAAAGGTCAATTGAATTATATGAAGAGAGTGCAGAACAACTTGCAACTGATCAGCGAGTTTTTAAAGAGCGTGCTGAAACATTGGCTAAATCCATGTTAAAAGTACAAACAACACCGCAAATAAATGATGATAATCGCTTTGTAACAGAACGTTCGTTTGGTCCGAGTACAACAATTTTTAATTCCGAAAGCCGACTGCCTGACCGTGCAAGATACTTCAATGGCTATTCAAGAGACGAAAATCAAGTTCCCGCCGAAACTGGATCATTCGCTGGAAAACAGTTACAAAATAATTTCAATAATTATTATTCGCAGTCCAAAACACCTGTACAAAGTTGGAATCAAGGTAATTATCAAGTACAATCTTCGACAACTGCTCAGCCAAGTTGGAATAATAACTATCAAAGTGGTATTTATCAAGCACAGCCTACAATAACTCCACAACCGACCTGGAACCAGGCTACTAATAACAATTACCAAAGTAATCTTTATCAGTCACCACCTGTAACGACTGCACAACCACCTATCGTTCAAGGAATAAATAATATCCAATCTAGTTACCAATCACAATTTACCACAAGTGCTCAATCGGTCCAAGGTGTTACTAGTTCACAAGCAGTATATCAACCACAACCAACTACTGTTTCGCCTCAAACAAACTGGAATCAAAATAGCAACAATTATCAAGCTGGAAATTACCAAACACTACCTACCACAGCAGCAACACAAATTAATTGGAATAACCATGGTAACAGTGGTCTTAGAACTGATAATCATCAGTCTTTTACACCTTCAACAACACAACCGAATTGGAGTCAAAGCAGTAGTAGTAACTACCAACCTGAAATTTATCAATCGCCGTTAACAACAGTAGCCGCTCAAAGTAATTGGAATAATCAAGGTTCTAATAACTTCCAAACTGAAAATGATCAAACAACACAAACACCGGTTAACTGGAATAATCAAGGTTCCAATCACCTAGATACTGTAAATTCTCAAAAACAAGCAACTACTACCGTATCACAAACTAATTGGAATGGAGCTATTAATAATTTCCAATCAAATAGCTACAATTCACAACCAGCAACAACGATCCAACCAGATTGGAACCAAGAATCTGATACCATTCAGCCCAATCTATTCCAATCTCAACAATCGTATCAACAACCTACTACTATTTTTCCAACCGATAACGAACAAACCATCCCAGCAAAGGAAAGTCAAGTACCTGCGGAATCCGCTTCATTTGTAGATCCCCAAAACTCACCTCGTTTTAATTTTCAACCAGAAAATTATTACACACAAGCTTCTCAGACAAATGTGCCACCTACTACATATCCAGTAACAAGTTCTTATACAAACGATTATTCACCAAACGGAGCTTACTCATTTGTCGAATATCAAAGATCACCAGATACTTCTGTCGTTAGAGATAGCTCAACTCAAGCTACTCCAGTTATGACTACGGTATTGGACTATACTTCTGTTGATAATTCCACATTACCGCCGTCTGGAGAAACATTAATACCGAATATGATAAATTCATTACAAACACTGACAGATAATAATCTACTTTTTGACTTGGATGGACAAAATAATTATCCTTCGCAATCGAACACCGACGATGAACTGAATTCCGTCGCATTGTATTTTAATAATGTAAAAAATCCTCAAATGACCACTGTTGCTAGTGACTTGCAATTTAATCGTTTCGAACAATCGTCTAAAACATACACACATGGGTTGAGTTCAACTGGTGTTAATTCTGTAGAAAATACTACACCGGTTGATAGTTTGCACATACCTGCGGTTTTGACACATAATACAAAAGAGGCGTATAATAAACTTTTTAGAAATGATACTGTTAAAGAATCAGTGATCACTACAAAATTAGCAGATACTAGCAAAACTTCAATAAATCCTACAAATTCAGTAAATCTAGAATTCACTCATGGGTTAAATTTAAACCGTTCGTCGGCGGAATTGAGAGAACTAGCTGCAGTCTTTACGCGTGCTTTAACCGCATACTTGGACGACCCAGAGAATTTCCGTAAAATACTAGCCGAGGTAAGACCGACAGAACCGCCAAGTGTCAAGACTAGTGCTACTGAAGAACAAGAAGTGTTAGATTTTTCTGACGATTCAAAACGTAACCAAGGTAAACCCACTGAACCTAGTACACCAGGCCCAAATTTAGCAGCTGAAATTAATGGTATGACACAAAGTATCAATGCACTGGCAGACTTATCAACTACTGTTCCACAATATACTTTATCGCCATTAATAGAAATCACATCAAAGTATACTGAAACATCAAAAGCTGATCTACAAGAATATGCACCACCTGAAGATAGCGAACAACTACAATTAGCCGGAAGTCAGTCGTTTTATTCAAGTAGAGATAATAGCATTCCAAGTGCAAACACTTTAAAACCAGCTGCCTCCACAGTAGAATGGACAGTTTCTCCTTTAATAGACACTGAGCAGGAAATAAAAACTACGACCTTATCGCCAGTTTACTTTACTACCACTGCAGAAAACTTAGAAACAACTGTAATTGTACAAAGGGCAAAAGAAATGTTCAGCCACTTGAACGCGTCTGAAGCCGGAGTATTGATGAACGTTATGAAAACTGCTCAAGTTAATGATACAGTTAAAAGGTAATATACTAACTCTGAAAACTACTACATTAATAATAGTACTCGTTGACTAAATTTCACTGAATAAAACTGTTGTTCTAAAATTTAAATATCAAGTTTAAATATGCATTTTTTATATGGTTATAATAAGTATTAAACTAAATAAATAATATATTTAACATAATAACCACATGCAATACTTAACTTTGACGAAATGCTTGCAGGACAATATTTTAAAGTTAAAAATAAAATGAAGCATATATTTAAGATCTTATTTAGTTTTAGAAAACATTTATGAAAATTTCGTGATAATTTTATATAGTAACATATCTTATTACTAATAGTAATTATTTAGAAACAATGGTAGAAAAATGATTATTTGAATAAAATATTCAAATGGATACTAGGCACCTATTATTGATAAATAATATTTATGAATATTATATAATATATACATTATAATACATAAAATATATTTTTGATAAATCAATAAATAATCATTATAACCAAAATTTAATAACTCCCATTTATAGGATATATTACTTATATGTATCGATATCTAAATAGGTATATAATTTTAATACATAAGTATAAATTTAAATAACTATTTGTAGGTAAACATAACATGTTTATATATTAATTTATATTATAATATTTCTAAGCCAATTAATATTTGAATATATGTATATATTTTTAAATAATGTAATTTCTTCTATATGATGATTTTCTCATTAATATAAATTAATGTTTGTATAAACTATAAAGTTAGTAAACTAAAAAAAAAAAAAAAACTTTTAATATTGATATTATTTAAACGATTATTTTTTTTAATAGGTTGATTTTACTGTTGGTCAATGATTCGAATAAAGAAAATAGCCCAGAACAGACTAGACACAATTTAATCGAAGCATTACTGGACAACAGGAATACTGACCAAACGTATGACGTATCTTCATCATCACCGTCACCTACTTTCTTGCCATCGTCTACATCAGAAATTCCATTTGGCCAGAGAATACAGGAAGATGGTTCTCCGATACAGGAAGGACAGTATAAGAAATCTAGAAAGGGAACAAGGAGAAGAGTTGTGCATAGGAGTAGGTCGGTTCCCATTTCCACCACTCCAATGACCCCAAATACTTGGCAAGGAGCTAACGATGTGGGCCCGGGGCTGAGTGATGATTCTGACGCCCGAGCAGTTGAACTCCTTAAGTCCCTATACTCGATCGCATCTAAATGGTCGTAAATGGATGTTATCCATCAACGGTATTTCCATTCTGCCTGTGTCATAACCTTGTGCAAATCAAATTATTTATGAATTGTCTATATGATTTTAATATAAGTATATTATAATTTGCAATCGGTTCGGGAAAAATTAATGATCTAAGTCGATAAATCGTAAAGATCGGATAAAACAATTATTTTTTACAATTCATACAAAAATAATGTATCACGATTCTATTCCAAAATCAGATCAATCTTTATTAATATTATATATATATATATATACATATATTATGAGAAATGCTCAATTTAAATCATTGCCGATTAGCTATAATAAATTATTTAATAATTTGAAAATTAAAATTAAATTTTAACCAGAAAATAATAAGTCGAAGATAGACAAACTTTGATTTCCATCTCTGAAAATATTGTTCACACAGAGCACAACCCCGAGGAGATTAATCGACTATCTTTTATCATGATATTTTCATCGTAATTTAATTCAAAGATAATACTCTAATAATATATTACTAAATTTCAGTATAACTTTATCCAATAAAACAAGATATATCGCACAAATAAAATCAGGATGTTTAATTAATATCTGACTTAACGCCGTGATATGAAATAATATATTTGTGTATTCTTCAATATTTAACATTTTTAACAGACAATAGTCATCAATCTTTCGCAACGGTCGCCGTACCTAGGTATAATATCATCTCTATTTAGCGTTTAGAAATTGCCATCACCTAGTACAGAATATTGTTAATAATTGTAAATGTCTCGGCAATATACGCATAATATAAATTGACTCTAGTCCTCGGTGAATTGGCGTGTAATTGTTTTAGGCTAATCTTAGACTTATATTCGTGTTATGTATACATATATTATTATATAATTTGCTCATATATCAAAAGTAGATTTCTGTTAAGATTCAATTGTAATTTTAATTACCTATTGCATATAAATAATATTGTACAATGTATGTAGGTGTATGTCATGTCTTTTTGGTACTAAACTTTAAAATTAAAATGTATTCCTCTATTTATCTTTTGCACGTTATTTCATTTTACATTAAGTTTAAATCTTGTTTTGCATACCTACTGATAATTATTATAAGTACTTATTTCTTATTTTCTTTCAAGTTTTAACAAACATTGATTGTCATTCTACAATTTTTACCATCGTTTGATTTAATCCATGTGTTAAAAACTGTTTACATTTTACATTTATTTATAATAAGCAATGTGAATGTGTATGTACGTGTGAAATATTCATTATACGTACACATATTATTATTAGCTATAGTTCATATATCATATGAATTGATTAATGATTATTTTATAATATTTTTAATTTACTCACACCATGAGTCAAGTTACATTACATGCCATGTAATAATGTTATCACATTATATGTATTATGTAAATTGCATAATATTGTAAATAAAATATAAAATTATTATGTATATTTAGTAAAAATTGTTTGTCACATAGCATAAGTTGGTAACCTATTCTCATATTCATATATTTTAACGAATAATATAAATAATATAATCGTCATGGTTAACAATGACACAAAAATAGGTGGACAAGTGTACACCACTTCGCTGCATAATTTTGGGTGTAAAGATGGTCATTGTGATGGAAATGTATTTTTTTTTTTTTACATTAAGACATATGCAATCTGTACTTAAAGTAAAAAAAAAAAAAAAGGTAACTTTTATACTAAACTTTATTTCAACAAAATTGAATTCTTTATTTTGTTTTAATGAATAACCGTAGAAACTTGAAATTATGTTAATAATTTATATTATCATTTTCTACTTGGTAAAATTTTCATTTTAAAAATGTTGTCTTTTTTTTAAATTTTGGTTTTTTTTTTTTAATGATTAAAAATGATAAAAAAATGTGATATGAGGTTACCATTAGGTTGTGATTATTATAGTATCAATTAAATATTTGTAGTTCAAATTTGGATGAAATCACATAATTTAACGATGATTAATAATGTTAAATATTATTTAAATAATACTATTCGTCCTGGCAATTTAACTTTTAAGTGTACCATGAATTTTAGAGCACATTAATTTTATATTTTCAAAATATATTGATTAACTTTAAGCTATTTTATATTTATACCAGGAATCTATTTATATTTTTTTTGACTTAAAAGTAAACGAAAATATTATAATTAGTAAGGTATAATTAATGTATACTATTATAATAATATAATAAGCACAGGACTTAAACTAATCTTATTCCAAGGTATATAGAAGGCTGCCACTGGTGCTTCTTGAAAGTTATTTTAAGCATGTAAAATTCTAGTAAAAATATAGACATAAATATTGAAATGTCTTAGTAACTGTTATGTTTTTATTTATCTTTGGTGTGTCTGGAAACAAAGTTCTGTGTTAAGGATACGCAACCATTATATCTATTCTGTGATGCAATTGCATACCCTGCATACACCTTTCACACGCCTGTGATAAAAAATGCAATAATTTTAGCAAAAATTAAATCGACTTACCTAACATTAATAGTAAAATTACTTTTAAAGAAATATTTTAAAATATACATACCTATAATGATATAGTCCATTAAAATGGTTTTTTATATACTATTATGACATAAAATGAATTCAAAATCAACTCGTCCATTACAGTAATCATCTCGACATCTATTGTACAACTGAGTGATATCCACTTGTTTACTTTTTAAATATTATTTCATATCATAGAACACTGTTATAAACTTATATAAGTCATATAATATAACGCATAGTGAACGTATGTTCGTATCATAGAATTTTGTAAATAAATTCTTTATGTCATTTACCTTAAAATAAATCTAAATATGTCGAACAATATTCAATTTTCATAGACAAGTTTTTGAGATTAATATTTATTAAATAATAATAAAATAACAAAAATTGCTTAAAAATAAATCGTTATTAGTTTATGATGTCCCAAAGAAAAATGTATGTGGTTTTACAGTATACGTTAAACTTCTTTTTTAATATCAGTTGAAAAATTAACTTATGATTAGTACCTATAAGCATTGCTAATTAAAATCATATGATTTTATAATGCTGTCACATATTATATTCGTTTTAATTGTATTGTAAACTTTCTTTTGTTCCACAAAACTAACATTGTAATGTATTTAAATAGATAAAAAATATATGCATGTATGCACATTTTATGTGCAGACATGCAGTTATGTTTTGGTCAATTATTATTGTAAGAAATTGAATATTGTTAAATAAATAAATAACTTTTGAGTATACTTAAATGTTTTTTTAAAAATACTAGCGAGGTATTGCGTCTTTAAGTTCAAAAGTTTCAAGTTAAGCTGCTGTTGGTACCAATGATTAAATGTTTAATTCAAAGTTCACGTCTTTATTATTATTATTTTTTTTTGTATGGTATGGCCCGTGACATTAGTGGACACTTTAAGAAGTATTTAGTTTTTTGTTTGATTGTTTCTCTATTTGTTTGTTCTTGAATAATGTGATCACCCAAGAATTAAATTGATACGGCACATTAATCTAGTAAATATCTCACTATTTCTAATTTACTGATGATTATTGTTTAAATGTATTTCATAATTTTGTTTGTTATTTAAAATAAAAAGTAGTCTCTAATTTCCAATACAACAAAAATTTATAATTATTTCAATTGTTTGATTTATAAAATGCATCTCCTTGCGCGGTTATTATATTTATTTTTTTATTTATTTTAAGTATACTTCAATAACTTTTCCATTAATACATTTATAGAATATATAATATGGTTATATCATATAATCATAAATATAATTTAATTATATAAATGTTTTTAATTTTGTGGGAATTTATATATAGTTAATACATTTTCCAGCGATCACTAACTACTAAGTGATATCTTAAGAATCATTAATAATTAAACTCAATAAGTATTCATTTATTAGGTTTAATAGTTAAAATATATTGCAGTTTCTAGGTTCTACTATAAGATAATTTTACATTTATTTCATTTATTTTGTGTTTTAAAATATCTAACTTTTTAGCGCGATGGACATAGTATTAACGTATTGTTTAATTTAATTATTTATACACATGCTTAATAATAAAACATTTATGAAGTATAAAATATATACACATGCATGTGTGTATAATTTTACTAGTCATATAATGTACAACGATTTGTATGTACATTAATGTATAACGTGATTTCATGTATTTCTCAAAAATAAATAATATAAATGTATGAATAATTCTCATCATATTATATTACGTACTTTGGTTAAAGTACCCAGAAACTGATATGCAACTACAGCGCAATTCTTTAATTTTATGACACTTTTCAGCATGATGTTGTTAGAATAATGCAGAGTTGGTCTATTTATCAGTTCTCATAATATAGTCCATCTAAATCTAAAAATAAGGCTTAATGATCTCTGGACCTATATTGATATTGATATTATTATTAATTTATTTGTATTGATAAAATTACTTTGTTGCTCTTAGTAAACTAATAATTATTATTATCATATTGTACGCATATAAATACGGAATAATCCTAAGATTCACCTTCCACCACATTACAGCCGAGACAATTGTCCCACGATAACCCTTATTTCGCCACTCTAAGTATGTCTTTTTATGAGTAAAATGCGCCATTTTATAATTCTTTATGATTTATACTAACATGATTATCTATAACACGTCACTTCGGACTTCAACTAATGTTCGCTGCACAATACTCGAGTTTTCTGGATATCGTCGGTCCGCAACCTAGATTGTCGATCGTCGCGAAGTACCTAAACGCTGCACTGGTATGTTTGTCGTCGGCAGGCGAAAAATTGGTCATCTAACATCCCGTAGACTAAGTTCTATGTGTTACGTGAAGCGCACATGGTCTGATCAGTGGCACGTACCAGATACAATAAGGCACAACACGTGAAAACTTACGCGCATTTCGGTAATAACGATAAATGACTGTTGTATCACTTACATCGTAATGTTGATAATATGCACTGTAACAATATTAAGTGTCAGAATGAACTAATACGGTGCATGTTTGGTTAGTGGTTACTATAGCAACCTAGGAGATTATAAATCATAACCACAATCAAAGAAGCGTCAGCAAAATCAAAAGTGATAAGTCACGAGGAACGACCACCGAACAACAACCACCGCAGACGCGACCCAGACCTTAACACTAAAAATCAACGCGCGGCGCTGGCCCTTTTCCGACGTCACACCGAGGTCTCCGTGTAGTATTGGATTTTTCCAAACGTTGTCGGACCCCACCGCGTTACCGACGTGATTATCGAGATCACGCCTATAAATATGTTTACAAAGCTTAAACCAAGTCAGTATACGTGCAGTTTCACAAGGTACAATAGCTACTAACAACGGAAAATTAATGAACGTGACAAAAAAAAAAAAAATTACAATTCATTCAGAATCAAGAGCTCGCTGGCACGCTATCTGTTTATAATCATACAAGATAAAAATATATTTTTTGATCTATAATATAGGAAAATGTGAACACTATAGTGTATGGATATAAAATGTACATAGTTGGTCTAATAAATTATTTAAAATTGAATTATACAGTTATTGATTAAATTAAATTGAACTATTTTTATAGTTTTATTTTTTTTTTATAAAGTTGGTTATATTTATTGTAATTGATTGAAGATCCGGTCTCATTGATTGTCCTATCTATTACGAAATTTAGTATTATTTGTTTCATATCACATAGATTTAAATATTTATATAATGAATAACTATAATATAAATAGGTTATTGTTAATATATAAAATACTTTTAAGTAATACAAATCTTTATACGTAATACTCGTATGCGCTATAGCTAAATAGAATATAATTCTATGATTTTAAATTAAATTATTGAAATATCGAAACATTTTGTGTTAAAATGTATTTTTAAATATTTTAACTTTAACAAATTGTTGAAGCAGTTTTGTATCCTGTATTCATTAGGTATTATAACAGATATAACAGGAGAGTAAGGTCTGTCGCATAATTAAAACATTTTTTTTTTGCTAACTAAAAATCAATTCTATTTCATAATGTTGTTCACATTTCTAATAGTAATGGTAACACGGTTTTCGATAAATGATTAATAGATTACTTATAATATAATATGTAATATAAAAGTATAAAAAGCAAAAAAGTAATGATTTTTGATGAATATAA